GGATCACAGGTATATACTGGTTAAGACTGATGGAGATATTCCGGATAAATATGCTCGGAATCCTAGGCATACTAGATGGGGGTCCCTTAGGGCAGACATTGACAGTAAGCTTGGAGCGGTCCCATACAGACTTTGTAGGGGCTCGGACATAGAAGCAGCTGTCGAGTTTCTGAGCAGGAACTTGACGGCTTCATATGAGGAAAACTGCTCGTTACGCAAAGTTCAAGGTAAGGGCAAGGCAACCTTCTGGACCAAAGAATTAGAGGATAGAAAACGAGAGGTGCACAAACTTCTTAGCAGAGTTAAGCACAGGAGAAGTTCTCCTCTATGGGAAGACTACAAAAAGGCATTGCTGGAGGTACATTAAAGCAAGATTGGGATCTCTGCATGATCCCTCGGGGGAAATACTACTTCTGAGGAAGGTACTCTGAGGCTTCTGATGGATACGCACAGTAGCGCGATCAATCACAGAGTTCATGCAGTTGCGCAGGTCCTCAGGGGAGGATTGGCGCGCGGCTAGGGAGATTGTCACCTTCGAAAGGACCGTATGGGCAGTAGACTCGTTTGCTCCATACAAAAGTCCAGGTCTGGACGGCGTATCTCCGGCCATGTTACAGCAGGGACGGAGTTCGGTTGTTCTTCACCTGTTGAATGTGTTTCGAGCATGTATGGCCACGGGCTTCACACCTAGAAGCTGGCGGCAGGGTAAAGTGGTATTCATTCCTAAACCGGGCAGAGCTAGATATACTGGCCCGAAGGATTTTCGTCCGATTACTCTTTCATCTTTTTTGCTTAAGACACTGGAAAGGATAGTTGATAGATACTTAAGTGATGGCCCGCTGGAAAGGTATGTCATTCATGCAAATCAGTTAGCATACCAAGCTGGAAAATCGACTGATCTGGCCTTACACAATCTGGTCGGTAGGCAGGAGAAGACTCTAGATCAGCGAGAAGTGGCACTCGTGGCCTTTTTGGACATTGAAGGTGCATTTAATTGCACCACAACCGACTCTATGCCTTGGTTAGACACGGGGTTGGATCAATCCTAATAGATTGGGCCCTACTCTGGAGGGTCGGGTAGCAACAGCTATGCTGAATGACGTAAGCTGCAGCGTGAGCGTAGCTAGAGGCTGCCCTCAGGGCGAAGTTCTGTCAGCCCTACTGTGGTGTATCGTGGAGAACGAACTCCTCGTAAGGCTCAGCAGTATGGGTGTCAACGTGCAAGCCTATGCTGATGACGTAAGCATAGTAGTTAGTAGAACAGTCTCGGAGATTATGCAGGGCGCTCTGCGCTCTGTGAAATCGTGGTGTAGGGAAGTCGATCTTTATGTTAATGCTGAAAAGACCGAGCTGATCCTATTCACTAGGACAAGAAGGCTTGACGGGCTGGTCTTGCCGACCTTCTTTGGAACTAGATTAATATTGACCCAGTCAGTGAAATATCTGGGAATCATCCTGGATTGCAAACTGAACTGGAGAGAGCATGTTGAATACAAGGTTAGCAAGGCTCGCAATTCGATGTGGGCTTGTAGACGTATTGTCGGTGTAAGGTGGGACCTTCTTTGGAACTAGATTAATATTGACCCAGTCAGTGAAATATCTGGGAATTATCCTGGATTGCAAACTGAACTGGAGAGAGCATATTGAATACAAGGTTAGCAAGGCTCGCAATTCGATGTGGGCTTGTAGACGTATTGTCGGTGTAAGGTGGGGGCTTAAACCCAAAGTGGTATACTGGCTCTACACGACGATAGTACGTCCATCTCTCTTGTACGGCTCCCTGGTCTGGTGGCCTTGCATTAGAACGGAGACAACTAAGGCCAAACTAAATAAAATTCAGCGTTTGGCCTGTATTAGTATTACAAGCGCAGTGCGAACAACGCCATTGAGTGCAATGGAAGCTCTGTTGGATCTCCCACCGTTGGATCTGGTGCTCCGCGGTGAAGCGAGAGTAGACGCTCATCGACGTGGAGTCAGGGCAGCTGGGCTTTCTTGAATCCTGTCAAGGGGCATACTGCCATCTTAGTCGAATTGCAAAGGGAGGAAGTAATTTTTTCTGGGTGTAACACTTCTAATGTCACTAAGTATATTCCCCTGAAATATACATTGTTGACACGTTTGATAGCACTATACATGATTGAGGTTGTATGTTTCATAGGTTGGCAGAAATGCATGGATTTCTTGCGGAAGAAAAGTCTGAAGAAGGTCTGGGTGTATTCGTCCGAAACGACGGAACTTTAATCGATGACGATTTAGTAAAGAAGGTGAACTGGCAAATCGGTATAATATTAGAAGACTGCAAATGTTTCATGGAGGAAAATGAATATCCCCAATCCCTAGGTGACTATTTAGATAAACAGTTCACAGAGTACCTGAATGCTTCTGGTGATGATCCAGAAATCAAGGAAACTATGAAGCAATTATTGGACTGGAACGTTCGTTTTCAGATTGTGGATAACTCATGTCATAGTTTGAAAAGAATCTCCGCTAAATACTGGGGTAGTTACATTTGTTTGGACGACGTGGCTCATTCCAATTTGAAATATGGTTACAAAGCACTTATAAACGAGCTTACAAAACGTCTTCCTCAAGGTAATATAGTTTGTAACACCAAGATGACAAGTATAGACTATAGGGGCAAGAAGATTGTTGTTGAGTGCAATAATAAGACTGTGATTTGTGATCATTTGATATTGACACCATCCCTAGGTGTTTTGAAAGAATTCACGGCAATCAGGCCACCGCTGCCAAATCGTATACGAGGTGAGTGTGTGCAACGTGACAGATTTTTTACAGTTCCATCATTGTTGTCAAATTATACAGGGTGGCCCAACGAAAAGGTCGCACCCCTATTTGTGACTCTCTTGGTATATTTTGGGAAAAACGCTCGGACACGTAAATTTTGATTTCTAGGGGGACGTCTTTTCATCTATAGTGGTACAATACAGGGTGATCAAAAAATATGATATTGCGTTACACTAGATTCTTAAATGGAAGCCATTTTTTCAATTTTTAGATTCCGCATGAAGTTTTTAGTAACTTTTGTATAATAAAGTTTATACCTATCTTCAATCGTTGGTAAGCGATTAGAGTTTATAATAACTCGACTAATACTGCTGATAATGGAATGCACGGCAAAAAATAATAATAATGGATACCAGCAAGAAAATTTTTCATAAGTCAGTCAGTGTCATCGTATGTCATAGAAACAATTGTCTATCGTTTCAAATTGTTAAGTTACCTACCTAGTTGTGATGAATATTGAACAATGACTCATTCAATTCAAGAAATGTAATACCAAAATGGGAGCATTGCAAGAGCTACTGCCCGGTTGTTTAATCCGTTACATCCAGACAAAAATATCAACGATAAATATGTCGCTAAGTTGATAAGAGAATTTGAAGAAACTGGATCTGTGTCTAATATTCGTTGTCATCGCCATCGAGAAAATCGACCAGTTAGAAGTGAAGCCGCAGAAATAGCAGTTTTGGGACGTATCACTTAGAAGATATAGGTATAACCTTTATTATACAAAAGTTACTGAAAACTTCATGGAAAATAAAAAATTGAAAAAATGGGGAGTTCCATTTAAAAATCTAGTGTAACGCAATATCTTATTTTTGGATCACTCTATATTGTACGGATATAGACATTCTTTAGAAATCACAATTTACGTATCCGGGCGTTTACCCCAAAATATCCCAGAAGAGTCACAAATGGGTGCACGACCTTTTCGTTGGGCCAACCTGCATGTATTTGATATAATTCATAGCAGAGCCCTCGAAGTTTGCTCAGAGGCAAAGCTGCAAAGTCTGAAATTACTATCAAACAAATTTAGAACATAATGAGATTACTCGATTTACACTAAATTAGTGTAAATTGCTTTATGCATTGTTCCGTCTGCAAATCTATTACATCTCTTTATTATAGTATTGCATTCTTGAGGCGAAAGGAACGCCTTCGCGAATTTTTAGTTTTGCTCTCCAGATAATACCGATAGAACATATCGACGACCTCAAATCAATACCTCGTATATCAAAAAGTAGCATTTTGCAGGAGGCATAAAAAACTGCACAGCTTGAATATAAAAGATCATATCCATGTGAGGTATTAATATTTAGGATCTTGGAGATATTAAATCGACTCCTATAACTGGTTTGAACAATAACTGTTTGTTGTTCACTTTATTTTGTACATACGAGTTATTGAATACAAAAAATCCTAGACTTACGTGTTTTTGTCGTAGTCACCTGGGAATTTTAAATTCCATAAAAACAAAATAAAAATAAGCAAATAAGTTATAACTTAGTTAAACAGCTATTTTAAAGTATACTTGTTAAGAAGACATAGGTCACAAAAAAGAATTGGACTGTGGGTGGGACTACATTATGTTTGTTGGGCGGCTTAGTCCAAAACTCGCCTTACAATCGATAGTAACGAATGGAGATAAAAAGAACTAAATGGAGCTGAAGCAATGCCTGACCGCGGTAAACCTTTTTGTGGACCTATGCTATCTTTTATCAGGTACAACATAAAAAAAATAACACAAATAAAGTTATTGCACAACGTAATGAGTCGCTAGCAACAATGAAACTATTCGTAGTGAGGTAGCTGGTCATAAAACGGCCAAACGTCCTTAGACAAAACTGCCTTTAACTTTTGGAGGTGGTCGAATTTGGTGTTTTTAATCTTCAGTCGTTCTTTGTGTAACTGCGTTAGAACCACATTCTCTGTTGGCTTTGTACGGGTAGTCCTCATCGGCAGTTCTTGATAAGGGTCGTCAAATTTCAATTTATAGAAGATTTTTCCAGTTGGGGAGTATTGCAGTGCTCGGAGATACGTTACGGTAGGATCGTTAACCTTTTGTCCAGGTCTTATCGACTTATATACTTGCATGTTGTTACAATTAGTAAACAAATCATGATCAACCATTACTGATTCATATTTGAAGGGCTTTGACCTTGATTCTTCACATATCCTTACATAGTCACTTGGTAGAACTATCTTTCTGTCAGTTTTCTTTCTATTGTAGCATGCACACTATCACACTCCATTTGAGTGTGTCCCTTTATCAAGAACTTTTGCTCAATTGTGACATTCAAATCCATAGCCAAATGCAACAGTGCATTAGACATAATGGTGTTTCGGTTCTGATAAGTGCAACCATCCGAGTATATAATTATTGGTTTTTCACAATTAAAATGTTTCCTGATGTAATCTACAATAAATGAGGCAAACGTTGAGGCCTGTAAGTCACTACTAGTTTCATCAAACCAATAACAAATACAGTCTCTCGTCGCTAAATTGTAGACGGTGAAATGGTGGACACATAGCTTGGTTTTGAAGTATGCCATCCTAGCCATCACTGATGGACACACTTTAACAGCTTGCAAATCCATTGTCAGAACGTGTTGAGTACCTGTCAAAGCTGCCTCTTTATCTTTGCTTGTTTCCACTCTTGCCCGCTCTTTTTCAGCTTGATATATTTTCCAAGTTTCTTCAGATATGTTTTTCTCTTCATATTGACAGCAGATGTCACAAGCATCCTTTTTGGGCTGATACAACGCAATATTCAGTTTCTTCACCATCTTAGTAAGGGAATTTTGGCTCATGGGCTTTGCATTCGACTTCTCACAATGTTGAACATAAGCCTGGTAAAGACTCGTAATGTTTCTGAACGACTGTTCTAAGTATAATTTTTTTGAGTCCTTACGACAATAGTGCGACGGCAATTTGTTTAAGTTATTTAAAAATTGCTTCATAAAAACATTAGATTGCCGATTTGACGATATCCCTCCTATTTCTCACCTTTCTGCATTTTCAGCTTCTGCCTCAACACCTGGAGTTTGATTTTGAACGATATCTGAACACTCGAATTCTGGATCTGCAAAGTTTGTAGCTTCAGATAGTCCTTCGACTTCTGAAACTTCTCCGTGAACAATTTCCATATTGTCAAACTCCGGAACTGCTAGACTTGTAGTTTCAACTGATTCTAGAATTTCTGCATCAATCATACCAAACGTTTCTATAAAACTCTCGTTGACTATGTCTACTGGTAGATCTAAGATATTGAAGTTTTCTTTTTCGCTGATATCCGGAGTAGTAATAGTGACATTGTCTTTTTTGCTAGACATATACCCCACTGGTACTTTATGTGGTGTGTTGTTACACAATTCCAGTATACGTTTACTCCGGGAGCTCATATTGTATCATTCTGTAATTGAAAACAATACCACGTAAGTCATATATTCCGGAACACAAATTCATTAGTATATCATGTACAATAGCTCGTAAGTCAAGCGTCTGTTTTACCAACAAATATTACTGAATAGGCACCAACTATTTTAAAAATTTTTAGTTCTCAGCTATCTAATAAGTTTTCTGACAAAGTATGACATTCTGTAGTTTTATTTTACACATGCATATACAGTATTGCAACAAACTTACCAGCACATTCACGCTATACAGCAAACTTAACCTAGAATATAGGAGATATACGCGCTATGAATCTATTTTTCATCGCTCCGATTTACGTGGTATTGTTTTATGTATTTATGCAACCAAACTAGCAGCTATATACGGCTCGCTGTCTAACTGTAGCTAGGGAAGACTTACAGGAATCAGAAGCGATCAAAATAAGAAAATCAGCATTTTCGGACTTACGAGGTATTGATTTGAGGTCGTCGATATTTTTGTCAGTAAATAGAACAACCACAAAAGAAAATTTATCTTTAGAAATATTGATGCTACTTGTTTTATATTTATCGATATCTCATCTCATTCTTTTACAGAAAGTATTGCAGCTATGGGCTTTCATGGAATTTCTAAGATATTTTTGTTCTTCAAAGAACGTTGGTGGGGCAATATTAAAGGCTTCCAATTTATTTACGACTCTCAAATGACTTTTGAAGGAGCAGAGAAATGGGTACGTTTGCTGAACAAATTATTCCATCATTCAAGAGTAGGGCAAAGAATGCAAAGTTACCAGTAGAAGGGCACACTTTCATTGCTTTATACAGGGTAGTGGCGCAGGTACAGATTAGGTTGTCAAAAAATTGCTTTTAATGGCAGCGATTGTATTTATACAGAGTGATTCATGGCCCTACTGTTCTTATGGCATGTACAATGGATGACAAATATCCTTTGCTTAAGAAATTGCGAGTTGAAAAATAGTTTTTAGCCTCAACGTCATTGACTGGCGATGATTTACCTGTCGTACTGTCTTCTTTGTTAATACGTAACATAAGCAATCACTGTGTCGACTTTGTCAAAACTAGGAATATACTGTACGGTTACAAGTTTGGAAAAGGGATATAAGGGCGCCGAGTTAAGTAAAAAACAAATGTTTTTTATCGGTAGTTAGTTGGAAAACAAATAAAGAATAAAAAATAACGCGAACGAATGAAATGAGACTTCTGTAAACTACAAAAGGGATATGATATGAAAGTCATTGCAGGAGGTGTCCCATTAGTAACTTTCCTAAATAAATCTATACATCAAACTAGTAATATAGCATTCGTCCGTCCGACCACAGATGGCCAATCATGGACAGCTGTAACAGTGTAACGAGCTATTTGGCAACTCCTAATGAACGAAAGCTGAGCAAATATCCTTTATCCATAGTATAAGGTCTCATTACTTCCTTGCTGTTTTTTTAGTAATATGAGATTTATATATTTCTTCTTTAGCCGAAATTGAAGCTGCAGTTTTGTCTACCCATGAAAGGCTTCAGGAATGCATAGAGCGTGATTGAGATTTTTTATCCTTCACCTTTTTAAGGCCACAACTTAATAATAAGAAGAACTAAATTTTAGGTTAAGAGCAAGATATCGAGATGCGGTTCGCGTGCTTGTTTAGACATCGTTTAGCTATTTTTATGATAAATGTCAGAAACTTGAAAATATTTTCCAGGTTTTTCTCTTGGCGGTTTTAGTAACAACTTAGAGGCTTACCCCTACGATGGATATGTTTCCAAATACCACCTCGCATTCTTAGTTGGCCACCCTGTACATAAAGCTGTCTAATGATCTACATAAGAAATTCGCCAATCTTCATGCTTACAAAACAAATTACATATTACTTAATAACAGGTAAAGTATTTGACCGGCTTCGACGACGTTTTCAACCACCCGAATGCTTTGGTAGGATGGGTGGGAAGCGAAGGAGCTGAGCAAGTAGAAGGACTAGAGGAATCTGTGATTGGAAGAACTTGCGTCAAGCTACTGAGACAGTTTCTGCCCGGATACGCCATCAGCGAACCAACGCTGCTTATTAGGTAATGCAACAAATGTGTAAGAGTGAGTGCATTCAAGGTACTCTCTAAGCTGCTAACATACAGCGGTTCAGGGTTGAAATTAAAATTCCATGATCTGGCTTGGCGATTTTATATATAACATCCAACTCGAATTTTTTTCTACCTATGTAACTTTGCAAATTTCCGGGCCCTAGCTCGAATAGTTCGGTCTAGAGGTGCCCTAAAAGTTTGAAGTTTCGGAAAAGTCAACAACGCTTCCATTTGCTACCAATTCCTGTTCCTGGGCAGGATTAGGTCCCGTAACATACACGGTATCCCATTTTAATCTCCCCACATGAATATTTGGAAAACTGCGCATTCTAAAAAAAAAGATACAAACAAAAGTTGTTGGGGTTCGGGGGGGGGGGGGGGGGGGATTATGGTGACCTTGGCAATGACATTGACTGCAGTAAAAAGGTAATTTCAAGGTCAAGTGAATATTTTAAAAGGAACCTCCCCTTTTTCACATCTGAATTGAAAAGAGGATCAAGCGTTACGTCCATACGCCTCGTTCATTGGCTATGAATTCGACTATCACTTTCAAGGCCCTGCCAATGTCAAATTAAGGCATTGAAAACGATTTGGTCTAGAAAAAAAAAATAAAATTAAAAAAGCAGGAAAATCTACATCTAAATATAACCTTGACCTCAAATAATATTTAAGCCTGACACGTTCCATTTGGATGTAAAATTTGCTGCTTTTTACAGTTCCAGCTTAAAAACTAGAGTTTTCCCTTGGACATTTTGACTTGACCTTGAAGATTATTATCAAGCTCACTTTTGGGTTATGCCTACAAACCTCACAACTGTGCTATCGAATATTTTTGTCAGAGCAAATTGTTTCCAATGTCCTCATTTTACCTTGAAATTATGGTTATGGTCCAAAAGGTGGTTCCATTTGAAAATATTTACTTGACCTTGAAGATATCTTGAAGGTCCAAATCCAGGTCATTGTCAATATCACCATACTTTTGTCGTCTCGATATCCTACAACTTTTGTTTGAAGCTTCGAATTCTAATTATGCCATCTGGCAGAGGAGAAAAAGAGGCAATTTTATTGTGTAATTTATTTTGAAATCTCATAACAATTAAAGTCAGGAAAACATTAAAACGATTTTGGGAAAATTCGTTTTTTTCTGTCTCTCTGCGGAATTATTTTGGATCGCGAAACATTCTAAGCCGCATGTTGTTGATTACCTAAATACGCAACTTTGCCCCCATTTAAGCGACGTCGTATCTTTGATAGTTTTCGAGATCCCAATGGTGATGGTCTAATTTGAAACACACTGTATATATACAGGGTGACTTCGAAGTTGAGTCATTTATTTTAACAGTGAGTAGATCTGATCAAAAGAAATGTTTTTTTCCTTTACCATTTTTCTGGTAAAATTAAAGTAACAAAGTTATAGCCCTTTGGAAGTTTGAGTACCGCCCTGTCTCAATAATAATATTATGTGCTCGTGTTTGGCAACAACGGATATAATCCGCCTTATCGGTTCATCGCACAGTCAGAGTCAGTCGGTAACGCGTGAGTGAATAGTGGTGTCTGTTGCGTGGCTCAAACGAAATCAAAAATGGCACATGTTTACGAAAATGCTGAACTTGTGGACATGATTCTTATTTACGCGGCATAACGGATTTATGCGGATCGGTTTCCCAATCGAGTGCAACCAACCCCTCGTGCCTTTGTTAATGTAGTACAAAGGGCTCGTGAATCAGGTGACTTAAGACCTCACAGAGGAGGGCATGCCGGTGCTCCAAGACCGCACGATCAAATACAGGTCCGCACTGAAATACTTGTCGGGAGGATACTTTATAAAACAAGGAAACATTTTTTTTTTATTTTTACACACATATTTTGGTTTATCTTCCTTCTACAATCATTATCTGAAAATTAATGACTCAACTTCAAAGTCACCCTGTATATATATACATATATGAAAATATACAATTAATTGTTAATTGGGAAATTTGCAAACTTTTAGGCTTAAGTTGACTCTTTTGACGATAAAATCAAGCTTTCGGCATTCTCTATGGAGCCTTCATCAGGATTTCGTCGTTGAGGTTGCAGCCGAATGGTGTTTCAAAACGAACGTAGAGATGAGAGAACTTGTTAAGAATCTCATCTCTGTTCTTTTTGAAACACCTTTTGGCTACAACCTCAACGACGAAATCCTGATGAAGGCTCCATACAGAATACCGAAAGCTTGATTTTATCGTCAAAAGAGTCAACTTAAGCCTAAAAGGTTGCCAATTTCCCAATTAACAATTGATTGAATATTTTTTGCCCAACTGGTCGTTGGCAATATACATATATATATATATATATATATATATAGAAAATTATCTTGCGGAGAAAGGTATATAACAAAAATAGGAAAATAATGGGCAAAATGCGCAAAAAGTGGATTCGAGCAGAAAATAGGATTGGTTACCCGACCGATACGTATTTCTGCTGGTTGGCTTCATCAGGCCCGAAATGAATGCACATATGCAACTACAAAAGTAGATACACATGCCCATACATCCATGGAGAGGAAAAAAAAGACACACGAAGTCCACAGCAAGAGCCAACCTACACATTGTAGTATAAAATGGCTAGAAGACCTCGAATTTTCAAGGCGACAAATAACCACAACCACGCGGCCGGTTATAGCCACTTGCTGTGGTACTTCAAGTCCAAAGGATCTACAAAGAGAAAATTATCATGCCGAGAAAGGTATATAACAAAAATAGGAAAATAATGGGCAAAATCCGCAAACAGTGGATTCGAGCAGAAAATAGATCTACTTTTGTAGTTGCATTTGTGCATTCATTTCGGGCCTGATGAAGCCAATCAGCAGAAATACGTATCGCTCGGGTTACCTATCCTACTTTCTGCTCGAAGCCACTTTTTGCGGATTTTGCCCATTATTTTCCTATTTTTGTTATATATATATGAAAGGATCATTCGGATAAAGGTATATAACTAAAAGAAAAATAATGGGCTAAATCCGCAAAAAAAGGAAAGTGTATTCGAGCAGAAAGTAGGATAGGTAACGCGAGCAATATGTAGTTCTGCTTGTTGGCTTTATCAGGCCCGAAATGAATACACATACGCAACTATAAAAGTAGACACACATGGCCATACATCCGGATACAGAAAAATTAGTTTAAATAAAAAAAGACTTTAAGGGATTTCCGTATAAAATTTCCTTTGGGCTAAATTATAGACATGATATCGAGATGCGGTTTTCGCGACCACATGTGAAGCTAATAAAACTTCACATATAAAATTTGTAGCCCAAGAATATCCCTTTTCAACTAGCCTAAGTTTGTTGAAATCGGATCAGCCGTTTCGAAGATACAGGGTGTTTCTTGCGGAAACATTTGAACCACTTTATTTTTAAAGATACAGCAAAAATTATCGATCCAAAGAGTTCACGTTATCCTCGACTTCAAAGACCAGGTATGTTTTTTTAGGTCAATATAGCGGAATTCACAGAAACGTCACTTTTTTAGATTCATGATTGCAGTTACGCCCCTAGTGGCGTTTCAGGAACTTAAAAAAAGTAAGAGAGTGTCAATTTATAGCGGCACACCTCGTGCAGTTATTGAATCTTTAGAGGCAACAAAAATATTGTAACGTTTGCATAGTTAAGCTCATTTTATGGGTACTTTCATAATATAGCAGTAGTATTGTTCTCTCTCTTTGTTGCAGGACAAAATGGTTGTCGAACCGCTTAACACTGGGTAGTTATAGTCACGTGACGCCTGACTGTGACAAAGCAGTTGGAGTAGGCATTGAGGGTCTCAGCGAGCCCATTAGAGGACCAGATGGAGTGCCCAGGATACTTTTGGCTGGGGAGGCAGTTCACCTCTCTCACTATTCAACCACACACGGGGCTTTTGAAAGCGGAACTGAACGCGCAGCTTGGCTAGCCGAATACATAAATTCGACAATAGAACCGCATCAGTCCTAGTTATGGTAGTGAACATAGCAGAAAATAAAGATAAACTTGAGAGACAGTTACTCAAATTTCAAGCTGAACAGTACTAAAATGATAAAAATTCAAAATATTATGTTTTATTTCATAGATGAAATCAACTTGAAATTTCAATAATTTTCAACACCGAGTATCTCGGCAAAGGAGCATTTCAGATATTATAGGAACTTTTCGTCCGAGTTTTGGGTCTACGGCCCTAGAAATATTGCCATTGTTTTCTGAATCATCCTATATTCAGAACAACTGACGTCCAAAAGAGAATCCATGTAAAATTAAATACGAGGGTTGTCTCAAAAATAAGGTTCCTACACTTTTTTCAGGCACAAGGAATTTTTTATTTGAAAAAGCTATTTTTCTATATAGTTGCCATATTTTCTACGCGTTTTTTTTAGACTTGGAATAAACTTTTTCACTTCCGCCTTAAAGAATTTCGCGGCCAGTCCGCCTGGAAACTTGGTAACTGCACCTTGAAACTCCTCGTCCATCTCGAATCGTTGCCGCCTAGGTGCTCCTTTATTTTCGGAAACGCTATGTCAGGGCTGTAAGGGGGATGATCCTGATACACCGATCTTCAAGCAAGATTTGCTCAATCTTCGCCATAACTTCCTCGAAGATCGACGGCCTCCCAATTCGTTGTTCATCGTGGATGTCCATGCGGCCCTCAAAGAAGTAACTCTCTTCACCATTTGAGGACACGTTGTGTTTCATTCAACTGGCGAACTCAGCTGGCCGTGACGGCGATGAATGGCTCCATTGCGCATGGCTATCAGACTGGTACTGTGCATCGCCAGGAGGCGCTTCTTGTTGGGATAGGTGGGGGGAGCCGACAAACACGTCGGTGTTGCCAGATTTCGCCTACAGTATATTCAGATAAGAGATAGACCGGATGTAAACAAAAGGTTCGGGTGATTTTCACGCTAACGCCGCCGTCTCGACGTAAAACAGGAGCCCTCATTGGTCAATTCGCAATTAAATGCCTATGCCGAGCGGCAGAGCAGTCGTATCAAGGCAGAGTCACATTCAGGTTCAGACGTGTTACGTATGTCGTGTGCATCATTGCAATTTGATATTTCTTTGGACGTTTTCGTTTGTTATCTTATTAAGTTGTTGAGTTTGTCGTTGTTATTGTTATACCTTGTTATTGATTGTTATTGTTATCAACTGCTTGCGCAAAATGCCCAGTAGTACAGATACTGCCTGTAGTCCACCTAGGAAATGCTCTAAAAAAAGACACCTGAGTGCAGAAATGAAAGAGGTCATTTTGAATATATATAAGATCGAGCGCGAGAAGAACGAGGCATCAACCATCAAAGAAATTGTTGTGAAGGTTTCTCACAAAGTTGGGGTGTGTCGCGCATCAGTGTTTAATGTGTTAAGACAATACAAAAAAAATCACACCTTTTCTGAGCCAATGACCAGTAAACACCGCAAAAGTATTGTTAAATCATTGGATGAAGCTGATAAGCATGCGATTAGGAGGAAAGTGCATGAATTCTTCTTTAGGAATGAAATACCTACTATAGATAAAGTACTGCAGGAGGTAAATGGAGATACAACGTTGCCAAATTTCAAACGATCAACTTTCCATGCGTTACTGAAGCATTTAAATTTCAAATGGAAAAAACGGGGTCGTAATAGTTTACTACTGGATAGAGAAGAAATTGTGCTATGGAGGAGGGATTATTTAACAAAAATTGGGAAATATAGAAATCAAAACAGGAAGATTTATTACCTTGATGAAACGTGGGTAAACGCAGGACACACTACAAGTAAAGTATGGGTTTATGATTCTGTAACTTCATCCAGGAGGGCCTTTCTAGATGGACTGTCCACCGGATTAAAAAATCCAGCAGGTAAATACGAGTAATAGACAACAATCGGATGTTTTTCAAACCTTGGGAACAAGGTTCTAAACATTAATTCCAGGGGCAGATAAAACATATTACAAGTAACAAAACTTTTATAACTTTCGATAAAATGCGTGGATGTTTTATTGTCATTTTCATTTGTTAGAACTTTTTTAAGCCATGTTTTTATGTGTTTTCGATATTTCAATAATTTTTTAATATAATCTTAAAATATGTCGAATATTATAAACTTAAAAAAAGTTACTAAGTTTTATATTGTGTACCGTTCCTAATATTTCTAATCATTTTAATTCATACTTTAAGCTTTATAAAGTTATAATTTGTTAATATTAATATTTGCGCGTATTTCAGGTTCCTGATCATTCATTTTTTAAAGGTTTATAACTTTAAATTAAATTGTGAAGCGCTGAGTAATCATACGACGTTCAATATTCTTTCTTTCAATATGACTAAATAATCCCAATTATAGCAATCTGATACTCATGTCTCAATGTTTTTTCGCTGAATGTGATGAAAACATTTGAAAAAGGTTCGCTTATTGAAATAAATCTACACCAGTTAGTACTTCGATTTCCAGGTAAAGGGAAAAGGCTCATTATCTGCCATATTGGCAGTGAGGATGGATTTGTTGTTGACGGTCTGTGGTGCTTTGAGTCTAAGAAAACTGGAGATTACCACGAGGAAATGAATGGCGAATCGTTTGAACAGTGGGTTTCAAAAATGTTACCGAACTTAGAGGAAAAGGCAGTAATTGTGTTGGGTAATGCGCCTTATCATTCTCGAAGAATGGAGAAGGTCCCAACAACGGCTTCAAGGAAAGTTGATGTTCAAAATTGGCTCCGCTCGAAAAATATCAACTTTGAAGAAGCAATGCTGAAAGTACAATTATTAAGAATTGTCAAGGATCACAAGGCTGAATATCAAAAATACGCCATTGACGAAATGGCAGCAAGTCAAAATAAAACTGTGCTCCGTTTACCTCCATACCATTGCGAGCTCAATCCCATTGAGCTCATATGGGCAGAGATTAAAAATTATATAGCTAAGCACAATACAACTTTTAAATTTTGTGACCTCAAAGGACTTTTCAAAGAAGCACTAGAATTAATAACAGCGCAAAAATGGGAAAACTGTATTAAGCACGTGAAAGACAAAGTTGAAAAGAGAATGTGGGAACTGGACAATATTTTAGAGGAACAAGTCGAGCCATTCATTATTGACGTTGGTGCTTCAGGCAGTAGCGATGATGAAAGCTCAGCAAGCTCATCTTTCCAATAAAAGATGTCGTTCATCAAATTCGGTAAGTTATAAGTAATTATAAAGCTACTGTATTTTTTAATTAATTATTGACATTTTTGAACCCATTTTGGCAAAACCTATTCAAGAATCTACTTTCTGACAATGTTCAACCATGCACATTTTTTTACGTTTTGAACGTTTTAATTTGGTTACATATTTACCTAGAAATCAAAAAATATACTAATCAATATTCTAAAAGCAATTTTAAGAGATATACGATTATTTTTAATTTAGGCTAATTTAAAGGCCATTTTGAGATTATATTCGACTGTATTTCACCAAACATCAGGCGGCATCCGAAGCTGGAAATCGAAGCGAAAATTTTGAAACCCTTATGTATATTTACATCATTATATATTTCTTACCCCACCCCCACATGATCCTATATCCATCACCAATCGTATACACATCGAATTGTGCTAATTTACTACAAAGTTACGCAAAGCAGCATCTACTATCTAAAATATGTACTGCGTGACTCTTAATACGGTCCTGCCGAATGTTACAGCGTTCGATGATCACGTGGTCTTGTTTATGTCCGGTCTATCTCTTATCTGAATATACTGTAGTATCACGCACGGCAAAGTTGCAGCGTTGGAAACCCTATTTTTGAAACAACCCTCGTATCTCATCCGAAAATGTAATTTATAGGAAGTCTTTGGTGTAGAAAATATTTTTATGCTCCACAAATATAGCTTTTTTTCAATCTCCAGCTATAAACATTCTACCAAAAAGAGAATTACTACTAAGACATACCTTTTTCATACATAAGTTGACTAAACTGTCGAAGTTTCAAATAAAAAACATTCTCATTACTTCAAAGTCGACGTATAGAACGCAGGTATTTCCAGTTGTCGACGGTTTGGTCACCGCACATTTATTTCTTACTCTCTTGAGTGGATGAATGGAGCTTTTATCCGTATTCCGCAAAGATTTATTATCTTTCACATCTGTGGGATATCCAATATGAGTGACGGAGAGGCCAGGAGAGAAATAAGCATACCGAACAGTATTATTCAACATTTATTATATGACATTCAGTATATAAATATTATTCATAAATTCGAAAGTTAAGTAAACCGACGATGATGGCATCGTTGGCAATATTGGTACAGACCTTGAATAAACCATTATGCATAATATATCAAAACTCCTCAGCTATCCTTGTTTTATCTAGAAATGTCAATAATATCACGTAGTACTTTTATTACTTGAGTCACTGCTTTTGGAATTTAGGGTCGTATCGCCAGTCGTTCCTACAATTGTAGGGCGCCTTTACGGCCTCCTTGATTTTCATAGTATTTTATCTCCTTCAGATAGGCTGGGATATTTCTAGATTTCTACTATTCTGTGTCAGCATTAGCGCTCTCCTATTGTGAAGTTATGTTTTCTTTTTCAATCGAAGACGGATAAAACAAAAGATATAAATCAAAGGCATGAACAATTTGATGGAAATAGATATTTGTGACATAACCTCAATCTAGAGCGCTGACACGGAACAGTAGAAAACTATGAACATCCAGGAGGCCATAAAGGCGTCCTACAATATTGTAGGAACGACTGACGATACGACCCTTTTAGTGATCTGCGGACTCTCGCAAATTTACTACTTTAGCCAACAAATTGCTCCCAACGGAAGCACTTATACAACTGTTGTTTAGTAACTGTTAAAGGCTGTACATATGCTAAATATGTTGGTTAACAACGTCACCATAACCTAACTTTCTGCTGTCATATTTTTGTTAAAATGCCTTAACCAATGTTTTAAGAGAAACAACGCATGCATATTGGTTAAAAAGGTTTTATCAACTGTTCAAACAGAAGATATAGATCTGGTACAAATTCTGGGTAAATCATTGGACTCTGTCGGTATTTCATTTCAGACATTTGTCAAATTGTTGTATAACACCTGCAGGCAACACCAAAATATTCTAATAAGACAACATGGACGATGCCATGATTATACACAGCCACCCGCCATATTGGGCAAACATTTATTCCTCTATTTTATATTAAATGATTATGTTTCAGTTCGAAATTACAGATATAAAGTAAAAAACGTTAGTGTAATTGTGTTTAAATATAAGATTTGTGGAAGATTTAACGCAGATAAGTTCAGTTTTCCATCTTAAAAATCTAGACATACTTTTGATCATTATGAAAATATGAATCAAATACGAAGCCCGTAGAAATTGCGTAACTACTTTGCACGATAATCAAAATAAAATTTGCTGCGCAAGTAATTCAATAGACCTATATCACAGTGTAGAAGTTTATCATATACCTGTGTATGAAATTCACAATGGCCGATATGTAAGTAAACAAGATGACTGTATTGTGTTAGTTATATATTCTTCACTTCGTCTATACAATACATAAGAAATAGTTTGGTTGCAATAAAGTATAATCACGTAACAGAATAGTTGTATAGTTGACAAAAACTGAATCTTGCACTGATGCAAATGTCCTTTAGCGGCTGCAAGAGGCTTACACTTTTGTTGTATAACTGTTACCTGCAGCCCTTATACAACCTCTTAAATGACTGAAGTGTCCTATTAGGTGTGCCCATTCCGCTTGTATAGCTGTTCTAAGAGGGTTTTGCCAATGTTCTTACACTATACAATGCTGTGTAAGGAATACTGTATAATCATTCTAGCAACTCTAATAGGAGTGATAATTGTTAGTTGGGGTGCTTCAAAAAAAAAACACTGATTCTTTCAAAAATTCATTCGATGAGCAAGGTTTGTATACAAAACAGTTAAACGCGAAATTCTTGAAAACTCAAAAAACGAAGGTAATATTATTGTTCTGTAGTACCATTCAATCACATTTTGATCTACAAAAGTTGCGCTCAAAAATGAATGAAGGGAAGGCGTAGTTTCGGAAAAAATCCTACCTTCTTGAAAATCGCTTCAGGCCTTCAGTATGTTATTGCAATTAATATATCAAAAGTCTTCATCGATCGCAACATTTCCTATTGGAGGTTTCATGCCAAAATAACTATTATATTATATTTCTCTGAAACGGTACGAGTAACCACAAAAACGATTTGTACCAAAATTGTAGAGGATGAAATTCTCTATAAAACTTGTACGACAAAGCAATGCTTCAATCAATATTTTCATTGTTATTGTTTGGAAAAGCTATTCCTTCTTTCATATTCAACAATTTTTTACACACGTTTTATTATCAATAACAATTTTTGATGATCTGGGAACAACACAATGGAAATGTGAATATACGACCAATACTGTTGTTATTCTACCGATTATAAAAATAAACGTTAGCGGAGTGTATACAAGTGTAAGCTTACGAACTATCTCAAACACATTTTTGCATGCGAGTTCAACCCTGTAGCACACAAAATCTTTCCAGAAGTCTGCTTAGTGTCACTCAGCACGACGGCCCTTACGTCTGTTTATGTTATACATTCCACTCCTTCTCTGGGCACTTGTTCCCAGGATAAACTTTCTTAAAATGCGCATCACAGTTCAAATAGTGCGTGAAAGCCATCGCTTCTCAGACCAAGTAGTGCGTATTGTGGACAATACGATCATATCGCCCTTATCGCTTGCCAAAGGAGGATAACTCGTTGCCGTTCCCTTACCAAGGAAGTGGCTTTAATATTATCCTGACATTGTTGCCCATATCGAATTGTTTACGTACTGCCCTTGTAGTAAAAATGAAATGGTACAGGGTGATACTTCGAAACCTTCTAAGATGGGTTTGTGGTTTTCATGTTTATTGTTATACTCTATTATTATCATCTCGTTCGTATCCTACATAAGATATGTCCAAGCGGACACTGGATGGTGAAAGCAGATACTATTATGATTTGAATATTTCATCTATATATTTGTAGTTATAGAAAAAAAATAAATTTCTTCACGACAGTGAAAATATTCATAAAAATGCCTCATAAATGACAAGCTATATGGTACCGGTTCTACAAACTTCATATAACTCGTTTTTATGATGACTCGCTCAAAAAAATGTGGTACAATATGATTTCCGACGAGATGTTCGCTATCTCACGAGTGATGTGTCAGCGAGTTTTCACGAATTTGAAGTCGGGATTCGAGGAGTACGTACGTATCGATGGCTCACATCTCAAAATGTTATTTTAAAAAAATAAAATTCACACTAAATACTAATCGATGACATTACCCTGTTCCAATATCTTCCGACATAAGTCTTTGGGCTTCAATACGCTGAAACAATATTTTGTTTATAGTTGTTCCTATATGTAGCTGTCCTGGTATCAATAATATACACCCATTCCATATGCCGCCAACATCGGTTTAACTCACTGAAAATATACACACCAGAATGTACTGTTTAATGATCTTACCTAATATTAAACACAGATTGTCAATGACCCAGATGTCCGTAGACGTAAAACTATTTACAACAATCAGCTATCATCTAACTTCGGCCTGCGAAGTGATCACATAATCACATTTCAATTTATCTAGGTCTATTTACACAAATCTCGAATATTACTAAACCTATTTGGAACATTAGAGGTTTAAGGGTGTGCTTAAACATTTTTGTTACGCTTCAAGGGAAGATATTCTTCGAAGCAGCGTTTTTAGCATTCTTTGTATTTAATACATTAATTTATAACACTTGTTTGAATACAAAAACATTTGAATCAACGAATTCGGACTAGATAGAAAAAGTAAGCATGCCATATGTTTTGTTCCATCATTTCCGAGTCAGTAGCCAGAACTGCTTTCCAGTGACACTGTTGAGTTACTCTGTAGTACTCAGCACCAATTTCGTTCCACTGGACGTCGTATTCTCATGCATTGTTTCTGGAGCAAACCAAAAACCACTGGAAAGCAGCTAAGAACCTAATATAAAAACTACCAAAAATCACCAACAAATCGCACTATATCAGTGGTCGCCAACCTGTCGATCGCGAGCTACCGGTAGCTCGCAAAGGTAATTCTGGTGGGTCACAACATATTTTAAAAAGGTGTAAAAATCATAGAAGTTGCTGTAAATTTTGTAAATTCTCATAATATACACAAACAGCGGCAACACTGCGGTGAGCGATCTGTTCGAGAACGATCTCAATTACTTTGAACGGAATAAATACGCAACTGAAGATGTCTACCGCAGATGTAAAAGAAAGCTCTGGAGCAAATCCAACCCGACCACGGCTCAACAGCCCGAAAAACCTAAATTACATAACTCTTATTCGTTTGTCACTACTCGCAGTTCTGCATTTTATTTTTTTAAGGGTACTTATTGTTTTATATTCCTTTCGATAGTTTCAATAATGTTATAATAAAGCCAACATTTTGATCTATAATTCTTTCCTTTTCGATTAATTCATGATTGATAAAGTAGTACCTTGTCATATTATGTTCCCCCTTTTCGCAACAATGTATTGATTAAAGCGTTTGACTAAAACAGGCGAATGCAGAAGTTAATGTGGTTGTTACGGTGTTTGAAATTATTCAGCCATTACAGGGAATGACTGAAATTCTTAGTCTACCGTTGTAATAATCACTGTTACGGTATTTGCCGGCAATACGGGGACCGACTAGGCATTTCAGGGAATGACGGATTTCACCGTTTGACGCCGACATATACAACTATCAATTCAAAAGCACTGGAAAGCAGTTCTGGATACAAGTGCATGGTACAAGTCGACTAGGCTTAAGCCACCAGTTTTACAAGTGTTAACATTTGGCATTAAATTTGAAATTCTTCTAGGAAGACTTGTAAAAATACGTGAATTTCCATACAGTTCTGGCGTGTCAGACAATGGCAGCGATGTTCATCTTTGCTTCTGCTAGACGGCGCGCGTCTGGTTGGAGGTAAACCCAAGTAGCACAGGACATTGGCTGAACATTGTTTTTATATTGGATCAATATTCATATATTGGCTCTAGCATTCCAATTCTCTTTTAGCCGATATTGGCCCTACATGTTATTTTGCGGTATTGATTGTAGAATATTGACACGGCATTGTAATTGCGTTCGTAAACACAGTATTACAGGTAGATGAGCCAAAATATTGTACTGATAGCGGACGTGGAATATTGTTAAAACATATATTGGCCAAATATTGTTTCTTCCTATATAACGTTAATGTTGTCGTCCAATATCACTCCGATGTTGTTTGTTCTCCGAATATTCATAATCCTATATTTATCCTATATTGGCAAAACTCTGGAAAATACGACGAATTGATTTTCTATTTTTACCTTTATTGGTCCAGTCTGTTATTTTGCGATATGAATTGCAGAGTAATGCGTTCGCTAATAAAATAATACAGATAAATGCTGGCACATTGATTGCGTCTAATACTTCTTCCAAGTAAACAGGATGTTCGAAAAATAGACGGAGATATTTTAGAGGTCGATTCCTTATTAGAAAGTATGAAAAAAGTTTCTATAAACATGGGCCCGGAAATGCAGAGTTTTCAAGGTACAGGATGATAAATTTATTTCTTTCATATTTTTTTTAACAAGAAATCACCCAAAAATATCTCCGTCTGTTTTTCGAACACACTGTATACTGTTTTTAGTCTGAATATTAAAATAACAAAACGAAAAATCCGAATTGTCTTGGACTACAGAATATACATAACTCAATCCAGTGCTGCTAATGTATTCACTGTTTAGATACACGCGTATGTTTTAGAACACCCATTCTCAAATAGTTTATTTTATCTTTATATAATATTTATTATAGTTTCACTTGAATGATTGTACTTTTTACTGAAGAGACATAAGACACATTCATATTGTAAACATTAACGGACTAAATCTAACGATGCGGCCTTGAACAACTTATTATGCCAGTCACTGAGTATGTATACGTTGTTATATGATACTGTGTCTATGACTATGTGGTTTGCAAGAGGATGCAGTTAAAAATTTAGTATGTTTTACGTCCTTGGGGCTGTTGACATATTCATGAGCAAAAGTCATGCCCCGATGAAGCATATTCAAAAACAAAACAAAAAAGATGTCATTTCGAACAGGAAATGTCGATGTTCAGTTTTCTGCCTTACGGGTTATAAAAACGTTTTCCTGGTCTGAAACAAAACAATCAAGGGGGTTCCAATTCTAGACTTTTTGCATGCACTCAAGGTTTAGACAGCAAAAAAGAGGCTGTATACGCACTGTATGGAAAAGGTAGTGAATACTACAATCCCGAGTCCGAGATAACATTAGAAAAGATGAGTTGTACATAAAAAATTCTAAATATATAAGAGTCAGAGTTATATACCTTCTTTGAGGCGTAACGCTTCTTAGGAAGCAATGGATATTAGATATCTGCTTGAAACAATGACGCTTGCTGGGTACTGCCAATGCTGCACCTGACCATATGAAAATCAGTTTCCAGGGGGAAATGTTGCATACACTTTCAAAATTTCACAGCGTATCATTGAATTATCTAAGAAAAAAAGTAAACAGTTTAAAATCAAATAACAACTGTGCCGAAATCACTACTAAAAACGTGCTGAAAAACTGTTTCGAAATTTTGGGATATCCTGTATTAAATTGGATCAATTGTTTACTGAGAAGCAGTTCTTTTCCTGAAAATTTAAAATGCTCTACAATAACACCAGTTCCCAAAATAAAAAATTCTAAAAGATGCAGCGATATGAGACCAGTAAATGTGTTACCAGACATTGAAAAATTATTAGAGTCCATAGTGCAAGACCAATTAATGCAGTTTATAGAAGAAAACAAAATTTTAGTGGAGGCGCAAGCAGGCTTTCGAAAAAAATATTCCACAGAAACGGCTTTCCAGTTGGTAACTGAGAATTGGAGAAGAGCCATAGACTCAGAAGAAGTTGTCATAGCAGTATTTTTGGATTTGAAGAGGGCATTTGAAACGATTGATAGAGATATTTTGTTAGGTAAATTGACGGCATATGGTATAACAGGAAGTGTTTTAGATTGGTTTAGGAATTATTTGTCTAAAAGGATGCAAGTTACAAAAGTTAATGACACTATTTCATCAAAAATTGAAAATACGTTGGGTGTTCCACAGGGCAGTATCCTGGACCACTTCTTTTTATTTTATACATAAATGATTTACCTGCCATAGTAAAAAAATGCAAAATTTTCGCCGATGACACTATGATTTATATAAGTACTAAAAATATTCAGTTTGGTATCTCTTATATAAATGAAGACTTGAAGCTTGTCTCAAAATGGTTAGCATCTAACAGACTAAAATTAAATGCAAGTAAAACGAAAGCCTTGTTAATCGGAAAAAACAATGTACAAATATTCAACTGAATATTGATGGTGAAGATATTGAGTTCGTAGAAAATTTTAAATACCTGGGGGTTTTTTTGACTCTCGGTTAATTTTTGATATTCATTATGAAAAAGTTATAAATAAGATTAATAGTTAAGTGGGATATTTATCGAGAGTTTCTGGATGTCTGAGTTCATATAGCAGAAAAATTATCTATAATACCATCATTCATAAATCCATTTTTGAAAGACTGCAAATTTTACAAAATAAGTGCATGAGAATAATACTAAATAAAGATAAATATACTCCAATTAGGCAAATGCTTAGCAAATTAAAATGGCTTAATGTAAACAAATTTATCAAATATCTTGTAATGATATTCATTTATAAAGTAAAAAATAATATATTTCCATCAAGTCTAACTAATTTAACATTATCAAATTTCGACCATCATTTTCATAATACCAGAAATAAAGATGACTTTCATTTAATGACCAAAAAGTATAACATATGCTACAAATCTGTATTCCATCAAGGGTTGATTGAATATAATAAATTTAACTCGGAGATAAAAAACCAGAAAACTTTGACAAAATTTAAATTAAAATTGAAAAATCACTTGTTAAATCTACAATTATAGGTTGCCCAGCATTTACATCATACACCATATGGCTTGAATTTACTAGTCCTAAGTTGTTTACAATTATTCTGTTTATGTAGCCAAACGTGCTAAATAAATCTTTCTACTACTACTACTACTACTACTTGCTTGAGGAAATGTTCAAGTCAGGATTTAAATATTTGATTTTCAGTAAGGTGTAGCAGTTGTCATCAGAAGCTCTCATCGATGTCAGAAAGATTCTTTGCTGGCCGTATCTATTTAGCATTTTGATGATAATAAATTGGGACGATTTTTCTTATTTGTGCTAAACATCAATAAAAATGCAAAATAATGATGTGTTTTCTTCCTCGAATTACAGCGCAATCACGAGAAGTAAAAAATTGAATATAGGCAACCGGTGCACTGGCTGAAGGTTGTCGAGTATGTCTATCAGATTGACTCGCAAATAGGAATAGTGAGATGCGATAAAATACAAAACAAATAGAAGTTGTATTTTTAGATGTTTAATCAAATAACAAAAAAGACAGTGACGTAATTTTTTTGCCAATAACATTCGCTAAGGCGCCCCCGGGACGCCACTGGATCTAATAATCTTAATGTATTCAGAACTAAATTAGCCTCTTAATGATATTGCCAAATTTCAACAGAATCGAGTGAATATTTTTTAAAATATCAACAGAAAAAATAAATTTATCTCCCTGTATCTTGAAAATTCTCTATTTCTGGACACGTGTTTATAAAAAAAATTTCATATTTTTCAACAAGGAAACATCCTCTAAAAAATTTCTATCTATTTTCAGAACACCCCGTACACGGCCAGCAAAGAAAAATCTCAGGAACATCGATGCCATCTTGTGACTAGATTAGACTGTCAAATGAAAATTTAAATCCTCCCCTGAACGTTCCATAAGAAAGCGTCATTGTTTCACAGCGAGATATCTGCTGATATTCATTGTTTCCAATGAAGCGTCACGTCTCAAGTAAGGTCTCTGAATTTCTACTGTTCCATGTCAGCGTCAGCCTTTGTCAGGCTATATTTTTTTCTTGAATTGTAGGAAATTTCAGGCTATATAACAGATTAACAGATGATATAAATCAAAAGTAGGAAAAATTTGATGCAAATATATTTGTAACATAACCTCAAAATAGAGCGCTGACACATAAGAGTAGAAAACTATGAAAATTAAGGAGGCCATGAAGGCGTCCTACAATTATTGTAGAAACGACTGACTCTAACATCTTTCAAGGAACATCAAAAAATTCTTCATTTGTGGGTATGTTTCCATTTGTTTGTTGTTCTTAAATAATTTCTAGCTTCCTTCTTTGGTACAAACTTGGCGTTAAAAACGCTTTTTGACAGTTAACTCCTGCTTAGTAGCCAAGTTGCAGTTAACTTACAATTGAAGAACCGGGCCTAGCTCCACCCGAATTTTATTAAATTTCAGGTCTGTCACCTGACTGCTTCCCAACTTTTGTGACCTCGTTACGTTGCGCCGTTAAAATTATTACCTTGATCCCACTGACTGGCTTAATAATATTTTTGTATAGGCGCGATAAACTTGCTACTTGACAAATAAGTCTTTGAGCGTTGAGCAGATCGATGAGTCACAACTCTCAGTAGTCTCCTCATCACCCTTGGAGAACCATGTCTTGGACCTCCCTGGTGCAGCTCCTTTGCTGATTATTTTCGAGAGGCTTTTAGTTGGGGAGGTACTACTAACATTGCCAGAGTCAGACGGTGAGGTTTTCCTTAAAAACACCTCAATGGCGCTTCCGAGGGCTTGCGGATCTACCAGGGACCCACTTTTCTCGTCCCACATCACCTTTCCTGGTTTCTTCTCTTTCTGGATAGACACCTGGAACAAAATGATATGTCTTGGATTTTCTTTGCCTAATTTAAGAGCTCATCCCCGCCTAAAAGCATACAACTTCCAACAGATAAGGGTATGTACACAGGATGACTGGTAATTCGACATGTTCCATGGAAAGGGTTCAACTGTGGCGAAATGCGTGTTCGATAAACAAGCTACTTAACAGCAATGATTTATAATATTACTAATTTATAACCAATTTATTATGCAGTCGCGGTTCGCGTGGCGTCCACTGCTATTCAATGACTGACTCTCGCGTCTTCAGTCGCCTGTGTCTACACCTGTGTAACTTAAGAAACAACTAGCGTATCAAAGGAGCTTCTAGATTCCGTAATTCCGGTAGTGCTGATAGATGACGTATTTATTATACAGTGCTTTTCTTTAATGTCCCTCTTACCTTTGATTTTTTGAACGGATCAATTCAAAAAATTAAAACTTGAGGTAATGAAATTGAAGCGTGGATGCCATATTTTAGAGTAAAAGACAGATGAAAATGTCAAGATGGCCGTTAGACGCCATCTTGGAAAAAAATTATATGAAAACGGGGGTCTTGTGCACAGCATTTTGAAGCTCCTGACGGGTACTTTACAACCCTAGAATATAAAGTTCAACACTGCAGATGTGCAGCCCACTTTAAAAGCAATTGATATCCCAGACGTGATATAATAATAGAAATAACAAGAAAATATAACAATGTTTGGATATATATTTTCATAAATAGGTATTTTTGATTCAGACTTATGTTATCTAGATCTAGACGATGAATAATAGGTGGATGCGGATACTTTTACAAATATCGATGTTTTAGGACCCAGAATGTTCTGTTTGTTTACATTTGGTGTGAATTTCTAGATCATACATTGGCAAAAATTGTTTTTGATGTAACAAAAGATGATGAACCAGAAACATCCTACTAAATATAATAGCTAGAAAATCGACCTATTATTTCTCTCATTTCCATTGGTCCATTTAAATAACTGACCGTCTTTTGTGAAATGATAAAAATTTGAAATTCTATGAAAGTTATCCTAATTCTAAAGCACAAAGACAGACTATTACATCTATAATGTACCCTGATTTATAAGGCAACCGTTTTTTCACGACTTTATTCAACATTTCAATAGAAATAAGGTCCTTTTCTATTCGTCCAACTGATCGTCAAATATTAATGTTGATGAAATTGGCCCTAATAAGTGACATATAAAATGCAACATCCAATATTGTTTATTGAATTTTGATGAAAACTTGCAAACATATTTGCTGTCATGGATGTATCTATCTATAGGCTGATAAAATATTGAAGGCATTCCGAGCCGTACTTTTTTGTAAATGCTTTTTTTGTCATATCAGGATCCGAACAATGTGAACATGTTTACCTAATATTCATTTATTTTTCTGTGTTGGTTCCAGTTGTTTCATTGCATTATCATGACTAGAGTTCGCGGAAACTCTACTTTCACTCAACTTTCCGAGTTTTAGATGGGTCGGATAATCGGGTTACGTGAAGGCGGATTTTCTTTTAGAGAAATCGCTAATCGGGTGAATCGAAGAAGCTACTGTAATGAGATGTTGTCGAGCGTGGTTCCAAGAAGAACGAAATCGACGAGTTAGAGGTATAAGTTCATTATTTGAAGCAACTAACACTTAGAGATCGATCTCCTACAACAAGAGTAGTTGCGAACTAGTGGTTTGATGCTTTCGTAAGGGCAATAATAAAAAAAAAATTATTGCCGAATGAGGTCTTTTGGACTGTTTTCATACCGGCCCCATCTTGTACGATCTCTGAACCTTCAGCATCGTCGGCAATGATTGGTATGGAGTAGGGAACGACTTGAATGGAATGTGGAATGCAACTCAGTCGTGTTCAGCGATGAGTCCAGATCCTGTTTGAGCACACACGATGGCCGTGCAAGAGTAAGGAAGAGACGTGGTGAAAGAAGGAACGTCCAACACTCCATCGAACGGAATATTCATCGCCCGGGTATTATGGTATGGGGTGCCATTGCTTACGGCAGCAGGTCACGATTAGCATGGCTCCCCAGCGCTATAGGTACTGACGAAGTTTCACAACCACATCTGCTTTCCTTTTTGGAAACATTGCAAGATCCAGTTTTTTAGCAGGACAATGCACGGCCTCATTTCGCACGTGTTATTTTAGACTTTTTAGAACCGTCCGGAGTGAATCTGTTCCAGTGGCGTCCTCGATCTCCAGACCTTTCCCCTAACGAACATGTATGGGACATGATGGGAAGAAGGTTGCAAAATTCACCGCACCCTCCACAAACATCGGAGGCTCTACGAAACCAAATTCAGATGACCTGGGATACAATACACCAATACACCATCAATCACCTAATCCATTGATTCCCAAAGTGGTCTATAACGACCCCTAGGGGTCTATGACAACCTGCAAGGGGTCTACGTCAGCGAAAAAAAATTTTGGGGCCCATGAAGTGAATATGGGGGTCCACGACAGTGGATCTCTCTACTTACATCATACTATCTTATAATATCAAAAGATATACATTATTTATAAAAGTACCTATGAAGTAAAAAATTTATAATATATGTTTATAAAATTGTGTAAGTTGTAGGATGTTGTCGCTTTGTGGTCGCAATACATTTTGAACTTGTAAAAACCTGAGAGTCGCAGTCTCAGAGCTTCGCTACCTTGCACTGACTTGTTCAATTCGTCACTCTATAAATACGAATGTGGGACAAATACGTTTATTCGTTTCCTAAATCTTGAAAAGGAAAGTGCTAAGAAAATATTTTTAAAAATATAAACAGATAGTATATCACACAAATTATAGTGAGTCAGTGTTATTTTGTTTGAGAGTGCTGGAGAAAAGTAAGTACATTATTTTTTATTAAATTTTAGTTTTGTACTCGTAGTTAGCAAAGATAGATAAATTACGCCAATCATGACTTTAGTTATTAGTAGTTAAATATTCAATCATGCAAATTTACACGAGTACTACTCAATAGTTTCTTTTTGAAAGTTTTAGCAATCGGTAATATAATTACAGTGCAATCTCCGTAATTCGAGCTAATTGTCCCAAGAAGATGTTCGAATTATGGAATGTTTTCGGAAAAATCGGAAAATATTTTTAATATACAGCTGCTGGATTTTCTGTCTTATTTAAATAATTTAATTTTGTCCACAGATGTCTGATGCCATGTCCGAATCTAAAAAGAAATGTAGACAGTACAGTGTTGATTATTTGAAATTTGGCTTCATTCCATCATTGCCGGACAAACAATCGCCTATGTGCCCTTTATGCAACAAAGTTTTGGGCAATGACGCTATGAAACCATCTAAACTGCAAGATCATCTGAGAAGATGCCACCCTGATAAGACAGAGAAAGATTTGAAATACTTTCAAACACTCAAAGATAAATTTCAGAAGAGACCTACACTGGACAGAATGTTCGCTTCGACGTCACAAAGAAATGATGATGGTTTGCGGGCGTCTTACAATATCTCGTTACTTATAGCAAAATCCGGAAAACCGCATACTATCGGAGAGAAGTTAATTTTGCCAGCCGTTGAAGAGGTTTTAAAAACTGTTTTACACAAACCTGCATCTGATATCATTAAAAGAATTCGCTTAAGCAACAATACTGTTGAAAGACGTATTGATGAAATGAGTTCTGATATTGAAAGCTTCTTATGTAATTATTTGCAAACGACCCATATCCCTATACAAGTGGACGAGTCAACTTTACCTGATAATGCAGCATTATTATTGGCATATGTTCGTTTTATTATGAATCAAGAAATCTACGAAGAACTGCTCTTCGCAAGAACTTTGATAACCGACACTAAAGGTGAATCAATATTTCATGTTTTGAAGGATTACTTCATTGGAAAAGCAACTCCTTTATCAAATATAATATCAGTAGCTACAGATGGAGCACCTGCCATGGTTGGACGTTATCGTGGATTTATAAGCTATTTAAAACAAAATGTGTCAGGGGTGTTAGCAATACATTGCGTCATCCATCGACAAAATTAAGTTGCTAAAAATTTGAGTGTTAGATTGCATGAATCACTTCATTTAGTCATTGATGCAGTAAACCGAATCCGAAGCAATGCGTTGAATACGCGGTTATTTGCGCAGTTGTGTGAAGAAAATGACGAACACTTTCATCAATTACTCCTTCACACTGAAGTACGCAGGCTGTCAAAAGGCTTATGTTTGAAAAGATTTTTTGCACTTTTAGAATTTCTGGATACTAAAGATAAAATTTTAAAAGAAAATTTAATGAAGAGGAAAACAGACATCGCCTATTTAACAGATTTGTTTACAAAATTTAATATGGTTAATTTGCAATTACAAGGCGACAGTTTAAATTTGATTAAAACAAGGTCCATCTTATCAGCGTTTCTTGCCAGAGTTAAACTAATGAAGCAAAATATTGGACGGGGCGAATTTTCTCAGTTCCCCAATTTGTCACAGACAAGCTGCCAGGAAGACGACGTTTCAACTTACGTTCAACATTTAAATGCCCTCTATTCAGATTTTGAATCTAGGTTTGAGGATATTTTGACTATGGTAATACCACCGTGGATAATTAATCCATATGGTGACATAGAAGAAACGAATGTCATAATACAAGAGGAACTGACTGAACTAAGTACAAACGAAGAACTTAAGGTTCAGTTTAAAAACGGATATCAGCAATTCTGGCTGCAAAACAACATACCCGTTACTTATCCCGTATTATGGAATATAGCGAGGAAATTTTTCATTTCCTTTCCATCGTCATACCTAGTGGAAAGGGGGTTCAGCGCTGTTACCAATCTCCTAGCGAAAAAAAGAAACAGACTGGACATCATTAGCCGAGGAGATTTAAGATTAACCCTTACGAAACGAAGGCTAACGGCTGGAGAACGCAATATCACGATTAAATATGTCAAGGGTAGACCATCCATTGTCAATATTGTTGCACAGCAATCTTCTGTATCAAAAAACTGCTAACCGAGGTGTCGGTGTGCTACACAAACATTCAGTCACTGGTATCTAAAACTTCTCGAAGTGCAAGCATTTGTTGATGGAACCAAACCTTCGTTTCTTTGTCTGACAGAAACCTGGCTCAGCCCTAATATACCTGACTATGTTGTTAATTTGCCTGGTTACTGTTTGTATAGGGAAGATTCCCCTCGCACGCCGGGGTATTGTGGGGTCTGTGTTTATGTACGTACCGAATTCGCTGACAATTTCACAATAACTACTACCTCCAAGAGCTTCGATGGTATCGACAGTCTCTTTTTGGAACTAACACGGCCAAACTTCAGTTTTGTATTAGCCTGTATCTACAGACCGCGTCCCTGTGCTGGTGATGTTTATTTGTGTAAATTCATCGAAGAACTTCTAACCAAGAATTCAAACATTCTGTTAACTGGTGATTTCAACTTACGTGACATCAGCTGGCCCATGACAACATTACCAGAATGCAACTCTCCTTCTGCCCCTTATATTGATTTAATGCGTAAGTCGAACATCCTCCAACTCGTAGATCATCCGACGAGATTCAGAGAAGGCCATACTCCCAGAACTCTCGACCTGATATTTGTAAATGATCCTGACTTTGTTTCCAGTCTAGACTACCTACCTCCTTTTGGCAAGTCGGATCACTGTACCTTATTGACCTCACTTCAATTCTATGTACAAACTCCATCACGTAGACATTTCAAAACTGTGAAGCTATTAAACTACAGTGCTCTCAATCGAGCATTGTCTGAAATAAACTGGTCCAACCTGCTTGCACAACGTAGCACTGAAGATATGTGGGATATATTCTCTCGTCGAATCCAACTGGAAGTCACTAGGCATACGACCACAAAGAAGATATTCAGTCACCCAAGAAAGCCTTGGATTAACCATAACCTCTCAAGGATGTTGAGGCATAAAAAAGCGTTATGGCAAAGATTCCAAAGAAGTAGACTACAACAGGATTATGTATCTCATCGATCTTTCTCTAACATCCTTTCGAAGAACTTGAAAAACGCCAAGCGCAATTATGAGCAAAATCTTGTATCATCGAAAGATAAGAAGAAGTTGTTTAGATACTTGAGATCCACCCTGAACTCTAAGGTTTCTTCCCCACAAATCCGTGATCCCAATGGCCACCTACATACTGATGCCGAAAAATCTGCCAATCTTCTTGCCGATGCTTTCAGTGAAGACTTTGTGAATGAACCTGATGGTGATGGTACTCTTCCGAACTTATCCAGCCCTCATAGATGCCTAGCGACCATCTGTAGCATAGATTTTCAACCTCAGGACATTGAGAGGCACCTTACTAAACTGAAAACTTGTTCGTCCCCTGGAAAGGATGGGATTACTTCTGCCGTTATGAAGTCCTGTGCATCAGCTCTCGCATACCCCCTGTGCATTATATTCAACTCCTCGATTCAAAATCACATCCTTCCTTCCTGTTGGCGTACTGCATCTGTGACACCTATATACAAAAAAGGAGATAAAACATCTGCGAAAAACTACCGTCCTATCAGTCTTGTGCCTATAGCTGCGAAAATAGCCGAAAAGATCGTCCAGGAACAACTTATGACATTTGCGTTCAAGAACAACCTGCTGCCTAGCAACCAACATGGTTTTATTCCTGGTAGATCAATTATCACCAACATGTTACACTGCATTGACAATTGGACCAGATCTTTAGACGCAAATGAACCGGTCGACGTGGTTTTTCTGGATTTTTCCAGAGCTTTCGATCGAGTTCCGCATAAAAGGCTCCTCCACAAGCTTGAACATCTCGGAATCAGGGGAAATTTGTTGTTATGGATTGAAGCTTTTTTGTTAGACAGATCTTTCTCCGTCCGTGTTGGAGACGCCTATTCTTCTAGTCATCGTGTTACTAGTGGAGTTCCACAAGGATCTGTGCTAGGGCCAATACTTTTTCTTCTTTATACAAGCGATCTTCCCACCCGACTTTATTCTATGTGTTCCATCTATGCAGATGATACTAAAGTCTATAACACTGTCATGAACTCATATGTGCTTCAAGAAGACCTCAAGCTGATCAGAAAGTGGTCAGAACTCTGGCTCCTGCCTTTAAATCTATCGAAATGCTACGTTCTCCACCTGGGAAAGAATAATCCTAACTTAACATATAAGATTGGCAAACATACCTTAGAGTCTGTTCTTCATCACACAGATCTTGGTCTGACAGTTAATGGCCGGCTCACCTGGTCGGAGCACATTCAGAACATAACCTCTAAGGCAAAGCGGTTGCTTTATATGATGGAAAGGTCATTTAGCGGTTGCACCGTTAGTACCTCCTCCTTTTTATACACAACTTTCGTACGACCCCTACTGGAGTTTGCTGGTCCGGTATGGGATTCAAACCTTGTTCGCGATAGCAGCTTATTAGAGGCCGTTCAGCGTCGTGCAACACGTATGCCATATGGCACACGTAGGTCAAGTTATGAAGACCGCCTCGAGCTATATAACCTGCCTGCTTTTGCTGATAGAAGAGTACGAGGAGATCTCATCATCACTTTCAGAGCACTGCATAATTTGTTTGGTGTGGACATGTCGCATCTGTTTCGTCTGGCAACGAACAGTCTCAGAGGCCATAACTTCAAATTGCAGAAGGAAGCTTTTAGAACCTCTACTCGTCAGCGCTTCATCTCAAACCGTGTCTTCGATGCATGGAACAGTCTTCCATCTTATGTAGTGAACTCGGAATCCGTCAACAGTTTCAAAAACAATTACGATAGACACCGCAGTGCTTAACATATTGTTCCCATTCTGTATATGTCTACTTCAGTAGTGCTAAGATTGTCAAATTGTTATATTTCTTTTGTCTGTACACTATTATCTATTTTTGTGTTTGAGTTTATAGTACTTGTACTCAACTCAAATTTGTTGTTTAATAATAATAATAATAATAAAATTGACACCAAATGTTGATAATTTATTATTAAAGCATCAGGTTCATCCTTCTCACTAAAAATATTGACTTATTGCTTATGTTATTTTATTTATAGTTTATTTTATGTTTATTAGTGTCTGATTGATTTTTTCAAAGAACCCCCCTTTATAGAAAATATTTTTTTTTAATTATTCTGAAAATTCAAGGATAGGTACACACTAAAATTCGTTAATTTTTTGCCTATTTTTAGATAACTTAAACGTATAAGAAGCGGAATTTAATCAAACTAACAATGAAATTATTGTAGAACATACGTTTATGTTATAATTAATAAACGAACTCGCTTATTGTACTATTTTAAGTAAAAAACTTTTTTTTTATTATTTTTCACTTTTTTTTATTTTATCCCTGTTATTTTTTTTTCAATGTGGGCACTTATTCCCAATGCGGGCACTTATTGGTCAGACACCTGTTTATTTAATGTTATGTATATTTTACATAACAGATACAAAATTTTATTTTGAGTAGTTTTAATTTAAATTCAATTAATAAATTTATAAATTAACATGTGTTTTTACTTTAAGTTTTTAACACTAAACTTCACTACAGTTAGAAATTTACAGGAAATCAATATCAGGTAAGTAGGGGGTCTACCCAACACGGAAAAACATGGCAAGGGGTCTACGACACAAACAAGTTTGGGGAACTCTGATCTAATCCAATTAATGCCGCGACAACTTAACGAATATTTAGCGAACAGAGGAGCTTAATCACATTATTAACATTAAGGTGGGATATCTCAGCTATTTTGCGAAATTTCGAGTTAAAATTTGTATCACTTTCTATTTATCAGTAGATCTAAAGCTTGTAAAATTACAGCACTCCTAGGCGGTGTCGCATTTTCTATGTCATTGAGTATATAAAGAAATATCACTTACGAATTCTAGGGCGTAGAATCTTTAATTTGATTGTAATTATATTCGTATACTAACCGCTTTCTTAATTATATCAGTCTTCGTAGGCTGGTGCCTCTTCGTGAACCAGTTGGAAGGTGTAGGGATCGATATGGCCTCCATGGAGCTAAGCTTCTCCTGGAGGATGGATATGTCGAAGCTGTTGGATCTGTTGTCCTTCAATAGACCTCGTCGACGCGATGTGCCTGGTTTATCTTTGTCCTCCTGCTCCTTTTCACATTGGTTGATCTCCGTAGCCGATGTCGAAAGCGAATGCAAGATAGAGATCAGGTCTGTGTTGGTGCATACAATGCCGGACGAAGCTTTTTTTGTTCCTGCAATGTGTTGCAAGACAAACTTATCCAAATGAAGTATACATTATAGATATAGTGTGATAAAGTAACAAGTTGTCATCAAAATCATCTTAATTATCCGTGTTTGTCTGGCTGCTAAATGGGCCCACATAATATTTTTTGGTTTACGTGATTGACCTGAGGCCAAGCCTAGACGATGCTGATGAGTTGCCAATAAACACAAAACATATGTCCAAGGTTGTTTGTCTGTGGTCGGTCGAACAGAACCAGTATGTATAGATGGTAGGCTATTCTCCGTTTTCTCATTTCAGAGAAAAATATCGATGACTTTGTTTCAATCAAAACCAATGACAGTTTTCTCAATGAGTTTCCAAATTCATAGCCATGTAATGATTGTTTTCAACACGGTAAGAATAAACACTGGGAGCAGTTAACGATGCGGCAGAAAGAGCAGTCAAGTTAATGCAAGCCATGGAAGCTTAATCACTGCTGATGAGGAAAAAAACATTATTACAATACGTACAAGAACACAGGCAGATATATCCTGACTGTAAAAGGAAGAAAGAAAATTTATAGTCTAATCATATTAGTCGAAAATATCCCTCGTTTGCAAAATAATTGTAAAGTCTGGTTTTATTGCTGCAAGTTGTTCAAGGGGGTAGGGGAAGGTGGCCCAAAATGAGGTGGAAAGGCACAAAAGATGCAACGTATACAAAAGAAAAAAATCTATTATTTTTTTTGGAATGTCAGTCTACTGTCCTTAAATATGTCCTTATCGATTTTCTGATTTAAAGCTAATTAATTTTTTGGGAGATGTAATGCAGGCTTTGTACCCTGATAGGGTGGGCAAAATGATCCCATAAGGTAAGTCAAACTGATCCCTGTTTCTTGTTAGTTTTTAAGAGTTTACTCTTAATGAAACACGAATTAACGACAACCTAAATTACTTTATTGAGCAAAACCAAATGGCATTTAGTAAAAATAAACTTAAATCGATGTGTAATAAGTTACAAAATATAAAAAAAGCGGAAATACAAAAAATCGTATTCAAAACGAAAAATGAGTGTACATTACAAGTCATCTACTAACTGTTTACGCACTTTCTTCACCTTTGCATTATCAATACAATAGTCACAGCAATATGGATAGCAGTCATCATTCTGTTGTTCTTCTAACAATTGATTTTTATACGGACTACTTGTCAAAACTACTGTGCCTCAAGACTTCCTTGATTTTGAGCTACGTTTTTCTTGTGCCATTTTAGGGAGTGAATGAATATCACTTGGAAGAATGTTAAAACCACTTTTTGATGTCGAAGGTTCATCAACCAAAGCTAAGTAGGATTGCGGAACAATTATTTTTGGTAAAGCGTCATTTTGCTCGTTGGTTTCAATACTTTTTTCATTGACCTCAGCATTTTCTTCATGTGCCCCATTATTTTCATCTATGACTTCTTCGATTTGTTTGTGGCCGTCACCATTTTCCTCGTGCACACCATCATTCTGAGGTTCGTTTTGCTCGGTCACTTCAGCAGTTACGAAATCAATGTCTGTGAAGACATCGGGATCATACGGAAAAATTCCAGTCTTCTTAAATCCGTTAATTGCGTTAATAGGTGTGCTGGCCTGGATGTAAGATTCATTGAAGATTTGTGAAATTTGGAAAACGGTTATAACTCTTCCAGGGTGATTGGTAACATAAAACTCATGTCTAGTGGTTGAAGTTTATGAGTGGTGTGCGGCGGTAAGCATAAGCATAAAATGGTCACGAAATTATTTCGTGCCTTTTCAATTACACTTAAGTTTTTTTTGTGTGCGAAAGGTGGCCATCAAGAATAAGAAGTGCAGGATCTTCTTGGGAAGGCTTAACAAAGGCAAGAAAATGATCAAACCACACCGAAAATACCTCAAGTTTCATCCAACCAGATTCGTTGCAATAGAATGTTGTCCCTGGTGGTGCGCCATCTTTTAACTCTTCTTTCATTCGCGTACGAGCAAAAATAATCATAGGAGGCACACATTAACCAGATGCAGACATACAAATCACGGCAGTAGTGGACGTACCACGTTCTGTAGATACGACTCTGCAAACTTGTTTTCTACCTCTTTGAGCTAGAATTTTACAATTTTTACCTGGGACGGTACTCAAAGAGGTTTCGTCGACGTTATAGATCCTATGTGCTTGAAACTGTATTTTGTCATACACAGATGTTACCCACATGAAAAATTTGGTTACGACAGGCCGGTTAAAAGCACGAGCACGAGCGGCTGACGTTGACTCCGGTGATCTTAGTGGGATCTGAAGGTGCCTCTTGCGAAAACCGATCAACCAATCTTTGCCAGCTAGACATGTTACCTTGGAAAACGGATGGACAATATTATTTTTCTCTGCGAGCTGATAAGCGATCGATCTCACATCTTTAGTGGTGAGACCGTACATTCTGCTTTCCATATTAAGTATATGAGCTACTAACTTCTCTTCCTGTTCCTTAGTGAAAACCCCTGTTTTGCTTCCCAGTTTCCTAACATTATTAACAGCTAACTTGCTTGTTCCTTTACAGCGTCTCTTTAAACTCATTAACGGAACACCGAAATTCCTGGCCGTTTTGTAAGCTAAGCCACGGCGGACCTCTTCTATTGTTTGTTGCACTTTGTCTTCGTCCCATAACTGCCACTGAGTTTTTCTTTGATATTTTTGAACCATTTTCTTATCTACAACAAGAAAATAAAACAATAAAACGATTTAATATTCGATAAGCACATCCCCTATACTATGGATAGTGATATGACCTTATCCACTTCTATTTTGTTGTTTTAAATGTTTGCAGTAAGAAAAATGTAAAGAATATATTTGAGCCGGCAAAATGATCCCGGATCATTTTACCATACCGAGAGAGGGACAATTTTGCCCTGAAAGTATACATATTGCATAAAGTTATGGTAACTTGATTCCGGCTTTGTTTATATACTAAGTGACATATAAATCCGAACACCCAGTTTAAATGGTTTTATTTTAACAAAAGTTGGTGAATGTATTTATCTTACTGTAAATAACAAGTGAAAAAATTTTCAGCCTTATCAGTTGGACATTCCGGTTTTTATACTGCTTTTTTTTTAATCCACTAACGCTCTAAAAATGAATATTTTAGCCGCAGTAAAGAATCAACGTTGGCGGATTTTGGTTCTTGACATCCTTTACGATCGGTTACGATGCCTAGAGTACGGAGACCTGTACGATTTCGTCAACTTAGTGAGTTTGATAGGGGCCGTATAGTGGGACTTCGGGAAGCTGGATTGTCTTTTCGGGCAATTGCAGTTAGAGTGCAAAGAAGTGTAGACACTGTGGTTAGGTGTCGTCAGGCATGGCTTCGAGAAGGCCGTACGCAAAGAGCAAGGGGCACTGGACGCTGCCGTTTTGGCTTGTTTTCATACCGGCCACACTGGGTCCTCCCTTTAACACGAAAACAGCGACGTAATCGCCTTGAGTGGTGCAGACAACGGTCACTCTGGATCAGGAATGGAACAGTATTGTCTTTAGTGACGAGTCTCGATTTGGTTTAGGCATGCACGATGGTCGTGCCAGGGTTAGAAGGCGACGTGGTGAAAGGAGGAATCCCCAGTTTTTTGTTGAAAGACATGTTCATCACGCTGTTGGAGTTATGGTTTGGGGTGCTATAGCTTATGGTTCCAGGTCACCTTTAATCTTCATCACAGGTAACATGAACGCGCAGCGTTATATCCACGAAGTTCTAGAACCCCATCTTTTACCCTATCTTGACACCCTGGCAGATCCAACTTTCCAACAAGATAATGCCCGACCACATGTTGCAAGAGTCATAATAGACTTCTTTCAACATAATGATGTCACATTGTTACCATGGCTACCAAAATCTCCCGACTTATCCCCAATTGAGCACGTGTGGGATATGATGGGTAGGAGATTGCTCAATTTGCAACGCACTCCTCAGACTCTAGAAGCACTTCGAGAGGAGTTGGTGGTTGGCTGGAATGAGATACCACAGGAGGACATTGACCACCTGATCAGAAGCATGCCTAGGCGCGTTGGAGAATGCGTAGCACATCAGGGTGCATCCACACATTATTAAAGGTCAAAGGGCTTTAAAGCAGTGCAATCATTTTGAAATTTTTATCATTTACTTATTATGCTTCATTAAGTACTTATACAAAATTTTATTAAAATAAAACCATTTAAACTGGGTGTTCGGATTTATATGTCACTTAGTATATTTCGGGAAAATTTGTTAATATGATTAGACTACACTAGTCAATAATGTTCATTTAATGATAAATATCTAAGGAATATAAGATACAAATAAAGCAGTGTTTCATTTGTCGAATAATAATTAGGTTTTGAAATCCATCGCTTTCCTATTAACTTTAAAACTCAAAGTTTAACCGAAAGTTGGCACCGGTTATCGTTCCCAGATCACAATAATAGTTATTTTTTGAGTTGTTAGAGTTAAATGAAAAAAATAGAGGATTGGTCTTTGAAAAAGGTATTTCATTCTTTTTGACACCCTAATATATGTATGAGGGAGATGGACGTATCAAAGTGATGTCTATAGTCTTAATGTAACCCGAAAAAACCGTAAACTGTACAAATGTTGCTTAAACAGGGTACTTTCAGTTAAGTCATTTATGTTAACTGCTTGTAGGACTCGGCAAAAGGAGTTGATATACCAAAAATCACCAAAATAAAATTTGCATAATAGTAAAAGATTAAACATTTAAAAAAAAAGAATGTTATTACATAGATTTCTTGATATTCTCGACCACTGCCGTGTAAATTTTCTTAGAGTTTTTGTTTATTACGCTTATCGTTTATCTAAATTTGGCATACTTTCTTGTTCTTGTATGATTTTCAGTAGTAGTCTTTGGTTCGATCAGTTGTATCAGTCTCTTAATAGTAGCCCATGTTTACGAAAACAATGAACTATACCCCATTCGTAATCCATTTACGCGCAGACAAAAAGCAACTTCCCCAAAAGCGAGATTGTACAGGTCTGTATTTTCCTCAATGGTCGTGGAATAATCTAACAAAATAAATGACTATTTTTATAGAAAGAAGTACACATGCTATACTTTTCACAGTTTTTTATTCGTTGGAAGTGCTTGAGTCATCGCCCGAATGGTTAATATTAATTATTACAAATTCAATTTGAATATCGATCATATTGTCCAGATCCCACATCTTTGTTTCGATTGTCTCTTGAACGTGACGGATGCAATCTTTCCAGTGGTTTGCCGTCACTCTGTTGGCAGCTTCATAAAACAAATTTTTCACGTCAGAAAAACTAAATCTTCTATTGTTTGTGATTTATATTTTGGTTTTTGACCATTTCGTCGATGAAATTAAGATTATATATATTTGTACTGCCTGACTAGATAGGTAAGTTCTGCTTTGACGATATTTTCATTGAAGCTAATGTCCTTTGGTAGGAGCCAGTGTTGAATTTCGGCCTTTCTTGTGGACATTGTGGGAATTTTTTCAAGTTTTCTAGTGTGGTATGCAGTATTATCAAGTACAATGATGGCATTGCCGTCAAGCTTTCGAAGCATTTCTTCAAACCATCGTTCAAATGAACTCTCGTCCATTCCTTCATGGTAGTCGGTCGCTTTCTCTGACTCAAATGTCCATAGGGCAGTGGGCACATTTTTTGGCCTGCTCGTTCCCCGGATTTAACGCTTGGCGCCTTTTTCCTGTTTGGCTATTTGAAAGAGTTGGTGTATCATGATGGAGCAGTAAATACTCTGGAAGAACTTCAACAGCGCATTGAAAGTGCTTGTGATTTAATTCGTAGATACCAAGATTTTATTTTCCAAGCTTGCAAAAACTGAATTCGCCAAGCAGGATTTTGCGTTAATCGAACAAATGGGGACAATTTCGAAAAGTTTTGGAAAAACGGCATCAATTTTTTTTATACCGAAGCAGCCGCGCAGGCAGAAGCTTAAATGTCGAGACACCGCGGCTGCTATGATGATCCCAAAGATCCGCGCCAGTGAAACAGGCATCTCTCCAAGGTAAGGTAGAGAAGAAGTCTCTGAGCCCCTTCCATTCGGCATGTCCGTAATGCGAAGTTTTGCGGCTTGTACGAGTTTCTGCTGCCACAGCGGGTTCTGACCGAAACCTAACCTCCACAACACCGTGGTCTGACTTACCCAGGGGATACACGACAGCAGTGCTGTAAAGGTTAGGATGCGTGGTCAGAAGGAGACCCAGCAGGCTACTGGCATGTGACGAGACAGGGGGAAAAAGTAGGTCTTGTCACCAGCTGGGTCAGCCATTGAGTAAGAGCGAACGCTTCGACTGCACGACCTGCTGCATCGGTCTTGTCTGAGCCCAGCCAAAGCTCATTACGGGCATTGAAATCACCGAGCAGAACTGCTTCTGAAGCGGGGTGATTGATGTCCAGGAAGTCAATCTTGACGGCGAGGTATTCATGTAAGTCATCCCGGTTATGGTCCGAGGGACAGCGATAAAGGCAGCAAATAAATCTGGGTGATGTTTTGGAGTTGAGGCGAAGCCACAGCGTGTCCTTCCGGTTTGATTCCAAAGAAACACCTCTGGAGCAGGAAAGACTGCTGCGGACAAAAGCTTCAACTCCCCCGCTCTTTCTCAGATTGGAGTGCACCCCGTAATTTGGGAAGCTAAGACGTTTAATCGGTGCAGAGTATGAGATTTTTGTCTCCGCCAAGAAAAGCATGACGGGACGATTGGATTGCAGGTAGTGGTGAACGGCATCAATGTTGCTGTTAATCCTGCAGATGTTCGGACATTCCGAGAGTGGAGTGAGTTTATGCCCGGAATTCTCAGTGCTCGAGGGATCACCGAGGAGAACTACCTCACATCATTTTTTTGTTTTGGAAGACATAAGACATTTATAAGACACTCTGGGAAAAGCTAGCTTGTGGTACCGCCTCGGTGGGCTGGTCCTTGTCTACCACCTTCTTTTTGCGTGTTAATGATATTACACAAGACCTAAAGTGGCCTGTTGGCGGACTTGTACCGCCACCCGGAATTCGGTACTGAGCTATTGACGCGTGTACTGGAACGGGAAGAAGTTGTATATTGGATACAACAACTTCCGGAACAAGCATTAGCCACGGCTCCGCTCAGTTGGATTTATTCAACTTGATAATGATTTTTTAAATAATTTTTAATACCCTAACTCTCTTATTATGCAACTTTGATAAAGGTGATTTTTGGTATATCAACTTTTTTGACCAGTTCTACAAGCTGCTAAAATAAATGACAACTTTGAAAACACCCTGTATTTAATGTTGCATAAAGTAGTACCTGACGTAGAGGGCTGGGGAAGCTCTGAGGCTCTGCGTTTGCTCATACTAGGAATAGGTGCGAGAGTTGTGCCTACGAAGTCCGAAAACCTCCTAGCAACGTTGTTGGTGTACCTCTGCACGGTCCCTGTTTCGTCCAAAGGTTGCACTTCGCACACTTTTTCCTTGCTGGTGTTCCACATCTTCATTCTAACCTTCCGTGCTTGGACAATATCGTCCATGATGTCCAGCTGAAGATTGTGAACACTGCCCCTGGATTCTGTCGAAGGTGGGCAGGCGATCGACTCTCTCCTAGTATGTAATTAACGAAAGGTTTGTATATGTATTATATAAGTTACATAAAACGTAATAATAATGTTTATTGCTTTAAAAAAAAGTATAGCAGTAATAGTGGATACAAGGAAACGACTTACAATAAACGAATGGACCCCGCAGAAACTTGTGCTTGGGCATGAGCTCATATATACTGGGTGTCCCTAGCAGGTGGCTCACCCCTATAATTTTTTATTTTTAGAGATACAAAGATGAAATTTGGTATGTAGGTTGGAAGCATTCAATTGTTTACTCCCACTTCATGTTTAGCCGGAAATCACTTTAACATTGTTATTTTAAATGTGACATATTTATTTGAATAGAAAATGACATTACGAGTACAATGACGCCAGATTTCCTACCTTTTGACATCTAACTTCCAAATATTTGTAATTTTTAATTTTTAATTCAGTGCTCTATGAATAGAATAAAATGATAATTATTTTCATTAGTTTATCTAGGGCGTTACCTCATTTTTTATCAAACGCAAAAATGTGTCTCATTAGCACAGGTACAAACACTTTTTTTGCGTAAATAGTTATTTTTAGCAAAACAATTTTCTTATTAACGTAATAAATATAATTTTCCAAAACTTTCAATCTTCAGCAAAATAACGCACTGCTACCTAAATTGTATAAATAAGAATTAATGAAATACGTTTTAATTATTGTACCCAATCAATACTTTTTAATAAACCTTTACTATATCCCTCCAGATCATTGTTTATAGAACCAAACTTTTAGATATAAAAAAATTATGTTGGTATAATGTTATACTAGAATTCCAACATTCAACCATTTTTAATCCAGTGTGCCATGATTACGATAAAATGGTAATTATTTTCATTAGATTATCTAGGGCGTTACCCCATTTTTATCAAACGCAAAAATGTGGCTCATTAGCACAGCTACAAAGAAACTTTTTGCGTAGACAGCTATTTTTAGCAAAACAATTTTCTTATTAACGTAATAAATATAATTTTCCAATACTTTCAATCTTCAGCAAAATAACGCACTGCTACCTAAATTGTATAAATAAGAATTAATGAAATACGTTTTAATTATTGTACCCAATCAATACTTGTTAATAAATATCTCTCCAGATCACTATTTATAGAATCAAAACTTTTAGATATAAAAAAATTATGTTGGAATAATGTTATACTAGAATCCCAACATTCAACCATTTTCAATCCAGTGTGCCATGATTACGATTAAATGGTAATTATTTTCATTAGATTATCTAGGGCGTTACCTCATTTTTATCAAACGCAAAAATGTGGCTCATTAGCACAGCTACAAAGAAACTTTTTGCGTAAATAGCTATTTTTAGCAAAACAATTTTCTTATTAACGTAATAAATATAATTTTCCAAAACTTTCAATCTTCAGCAAAATAACGCACTGCTACCTAAATTGTATAAATAAGAATTAATGAAATACGTTTTAATTATTGTACCCAATCAATACTTGTTAATAAATATCTCTCCAGATCACTGTTTATAGAATCAAAACTTTTAGATATAAACAAATTATGTTGGTATAATGTTATACTAGAATCCCAACATTCAACCATTTTCAATCCAGTGTGCCATGATTACGATAAAATGGTAATTATTTTCATTAGTTTATCTAGGGCGTTACCTCATTTTTCTCAAACGCAAAAATGTGGCTCATTAGCACAGCTACAAAGAAACTTTTTGCGTAAATAGCTATTTTTAGCAAAACAATTTTCTTATTAACGTAATAAATATAATTTTCCAATACTTTCAATCTTCAGCAAAATAACGCACTGCTACCTAAATTGTATAAATAAGAATTAATGAAATACGTTTTAATTATTGTACCCAATCAATACTTGTTAATAAATATCTCTCCAGATCACTGTTTATAGAATCAAAACTTTTAGATATAAAAAAATTATGTTGGTATAATGTTATACTAGAATCCCAACATTCAACCATTTTCAATCCAGTGTGCCATGATTACGATTAAATGGTAATTATTTTCATTAAATTATCTAGGGCGTTACCACATTTTTATAAAACGCAAAAATATGGCTCATTAGCACAGCTACAAAGAAATTGTTTTCGTAAATAGTTATTTTTAGTAAAACAATTTTCTTATTAACGTAATAAATATAATTTTACAAAACTTTCAATCTTTAGCAAAATAACGCACTGCTACCTAAATTGTATAAATAAGAATTAATGAAATACGTTTTAGTTATTATACCCAATCAATACTTTTTAATAAACCTCCAGGTCACTGTTTATAGAATCAAAACTTTTCGATATAAATAAATTATGTTGCTATAATGTTATAATAGAATTCCAACATTCGACCATTTATAAAAATTATGAATATGGTTCTAGAAATAAAAATAAACAATTACTGCAACACCAGAAGCAGAAATAATGTTGAAAGCTTCTCATACTTAGGTCCAACATTGTATCATAACTTACCAAAATATATTAGAAAAACCGAATATAATTATTAAAAATAGATGTCGCTTATGAAAACTAATATAAAAAACTAACACATATCTTTTCTTCATTGTTAGTCTATGATACAAAATTAATGTACGAGCCCTTTACCACTTCAGTTGGCCCACTTCAAGATTTGTACCAAAATATGCCTTTATAAGCTAAACATCACGAAACTATTTACTTCTAAAATAATTTATTTTCTCAAAAACTTTTTATATACACTCTAGTCGTAAAAAATACATATTTGAAATCACTTAGACCTAAAACTAATAGAGTATCTGAACAAATAAACAATGTGCGAATAAATGCGTTAACAAAGCAACAACTGAAAGATTACCATTGGGTAACATCACCTTGATTTTTTATTACGGCTGAAATTCTTTGGGGCATAGTGCTAACCAAGTTTTGGCAAAAATTTGGTGTAAAACACTCCCATATTTCTCGAAGCTTTTGTCTCAGTTCGGTGATTGTACGAGCAGGATGTCGTCGTAGAACCTATTTCATCTCGTGCCACAAAGTTTCAATAGGATCTGGACTGCTAGAAACCCATTTCAAAAGTGGTACATTACTTTCTTCCATCCATTTTACAGCCTTTTTTGAGGTATGGCACGCTGCACCGTCTTGCTGAAACACAAAATCTTGGCCGGATGTCAAACATTCTTCCATCAATGGTAAAAGCGATTCTTCTAAAATTGCCAAATATTTGTTTGTATCCACGTTTCCATCAATAAAATGAAGTTTTCCGACTCCTTTTTTTGATGACATACTGCCCCAGACCATAATGGATGCTGGAAATTTCACTTTTCTCTTCAGACAGTCAACATGGAATGCTTCATTTTTTTGCGAATAACTCTACTGCGACTGTCACCAACACAAACTTCGAATCGGGCCTCATCACTCCATTGTATTGCATACCATTGTTGAGGTGTCCATTGTCTATGTTCTTTACCCATCGAATCCGATTTTTCTTTTGCAGTGGAGTTAATAGTGGCTTTTCTTTGGCCTATAAACAAGTTGTGCAACTTTAGGGTTTTTACTTCACTTTTTTTATAAGAAAACTTACCGTGCCAGTGTTAAATCCCAGTTTGTGGGCCCCTCTATGAGTTGTGGACGTCGAAATTCTCCTTCCAACAGCGTCACTCAACAGAGCACTTAATTGTAAATAATTGGCACGCCTGTTTTTGACGATTATTCTTACGTTATATTTTCTAACAATATTTCTCACACTGTACCGTGATAAGTCTAACAAAGTTGCAATTTCTGAGTTTGATTTGCCAGAATTAAAAAAATTAATTATCAGTAACCGAATTTTCTCACTAATAACCTTTCCTCTACCCATTTTGAAAACCTTAACTACCCAAAACTATTTTAAACGTATTCTGACAGCTGTGATTAATAAAAACATTTGTCATGGCTTTTATTTTGCACAGCCACCTATGTGTTATAGACTTATTTTGCATTGAAATGAAAATAGGTTGATATGCTGTAATTGCAGCATGTGCTATTTTTATGATGCAAATTTGATTAGGGAGTGATAAAGTTGGTGTTTTCTACTATATATTATCAAAATATTCATTGTTAATATTTTAAACCTATAACACCCTGCTACATTTTTATTATTTGTGTTTGATAAGAAAAAAACTAAGATTTCAATAGTTGGGCCAACTGAAGTGGGAAGAGGCTCGTATATATTACACTTATATTATATAGATTTATTTTATTAGTTAGTTATATTATGCATGTTGTGTTAGCATGATATCTACATACAAGGATATTTTCCTTTTGTGGCATATGCATTTGTTCACAATGTGTAACTGATGTGAATATAAATAATTATTATTATCATTATTATTATTATTATTACTATTATTATTATTATTATTATTATGATTATGTTCGAAATGAGCACCTTGTTGTTGTTGGCAAAGTTCAGTTCTCTCAATTGTTTTGCATATTACATTTTGAAGATGCATTGGTGTAATGCTATTAAGGGTCGCCCTTACTTTATTTGACAACTCGATTCGTGTCGCTGATGGTGTACGACGTTTTAGATTGTTTCCCATATATAAAATCCTTGGAGGCCATCTAACTTTTCCATTATTTCCAATCCAGTTTTCCCCGTAGGTATTATTTCACCCGCGTGTTCTGGGGCGGAGCGCTATCTTGTTGATAAAATATGCCACTTTTATTTATCAAACGCATTTCAGCCAAGAAATTTTCAATTTCACGAGAACGACATTGCAAATACCTCTCTCCTGTCAAATACTCTTCAGAAATTATGGGGCCTAGAATCTCCTATAATTCTCAACCAATAATTAAAACCAACACGTTTTTGGAAATTTCTTTCTTCCATTAAGTGCAAATTTTCTTTAGATCAATATATTTTATTATTTCTGTTGAAAACGCCTAAATCTGTAAAGAGACTTTATAAAAAAATGTATAAGGAACAGTGTTGTCCTCTTGGTATTTTTGTGAAAACCAGTTGCAATATT